GGTGAGAACCCGGCGTGCTCCGTCCCGGCTTTGTAGGGATGCGAGGTCAATGGTCAAACGACTACGGCATGCACGACTTTGAGTACACCCCCCCCCACCGCCACCATTTGCAGCACGTCCTTGCTTTAAATAGGCAATCTGTCGTGGTCCCATGTTACCAACGAGCGGCAATTCCCTCTCCCCGTCCCTCACGCCCTTCGTTCCCCCTTGCATTGGGTGGACCAGGAAAACCTTGCGGCGGAAGACGAAAGGCAAGATGTATATCAGAGTAATTTCGACAGACCTAGGGTAAATAAAGTGGTCGACCTGTCCACACGGGCGAACTCGATGCACCAGACACAACAGATCGGAGTCGTCGACAAGCATTATCGCAATGTTTCTCGTTTCTTCCATGCTCACAAGTTCTCTTCAGGCATAGTCTCCTCTTCTATGGATTTTCGTATTGCCCATAACGTTGCTCTAAGCAAAGTGTATAATAAACAGTGGCTTGGTTTTGAATGAAGGCAGGCATATTGGCGTTTTCTTGTGTTCGGCTATTATATTGCAACCGGTGGTCACAGCTATTAGCTACGTCTTTGTTCGCGCAAGATTTTCGCATGATTTGCATGCATCCTCTCGAAATCAAGAAGAACAGGTCCTGTTTGTGTTCGCTGATTGCCATCCTTACGTTGTGTTTCGTTCTTTCTTCCCCACCGCCTCGCGTCGCTTCTGTTTGTTGCTGTTGTCGATGACATTATTGTTGTTGTTGGGACGACAAACAGGACTGCGGGCCACCGTGCCCTTCTGGTGTTTGTCGCTGAGGCCGGGATTGTAAAGGGCAAAACACTGTGCCCCACCATTGATTTACAGCTGGTGTGCCTTGAATTATGCGAGGCAACCCGAGACGTGGCCTTTTGGCGCCTGACGGTCAGCCAGAGTGCGCTCGACAGTACCAAGCTGCGCGAGCAAACACCCTTGGCAGGGGGCAATGGGTGCAAGAGGGCGAGAAGGCTAGTCGGCCACACAGGTCGTCGGCCCCAAGTGTAGCGGCAGAGGTGGCCGAGCCAGCAGCAGCAACGCCCCACCAAGCCACGTCGAGAGTGCCGCTGCTTCTTGGGAGAAACATCCAGTTGTATTTCGGCGTGGACACAATGCTGAAATGCACCTCCGAGCTATCGCGAGTCACGTCCCTTCAGCTCGTTACGGACGAGTAATTCAGCGCCGACGACAGCTTAAACGAGGCACTGGACAGGATCGTGTGGCCGCCAACCCTTGAGACTCTGAAATATGGCATTGATTTTAATCAGAGCTTGACGGGAGTCACCTGGCCTTCTTTGCTCACGAAGATGGCATTCGGGTATTCCTTCACTCAATCGATTACGGCAGCGACTTGGCCAAACAACCTCCAACACCTGTCCTTCACGGGATCGTTCAACCAGCCGGTCGCCGAAGTTGTGTGGCCCAAGTCGCTCACACAACTGTCCTTTTCCTCGACATTTAACCAGCCCATCAGTGGACGAGTGTTTCCGGAGTCCCTGGAACAACTATCGTTTGGGGAGTCTTTCAAGGGGAGTCTTTCAACCAGACAAATGAAAGGGTCCACTGGCCGGCCTCTCTGTTGCGGCTAACTTTTAGCGACGGTTTCGACCAGTCCATTGTCGGAATAGCATGGCCTGAGAAACTGCAAGAGCTATCATTCGGCATGTTGTTTCGGCAGGAGCTGAGCCAGGTGGTGTGGCCCATTCGCCTTCAACGGGTGAATCTCGGAGGGTTCACCGAGTCCATGGTCGGGATCTCGTGGCCAGAGTCTCTGACACACCTTTCCGTCGGCGACTCATTCAACCAGCCCATCACTGGACAACATTTTCCCGACGGCCTGCAGCAACTTGCTTTTGGGATGAGATTCAACCAGCAGCCCGCTGTCGGCACACAATGGCTCGACGGCCTGCAAGAGTTGTCTTTCGGACCGGAATTCGATCAGGAGATGAGCGAGGTCGTACTTCCAACCTGCCTTCAACGGTTGAATCTCGGAGGGTTCAACCGGTCCATCGCAGAGGTTTCGTGGCCTGACTCCTTGCTGGAGTTCACGGCCAAGTTCAACAAGGACTACCGGCGATGATCCCTATTTTCAGTGATGGCAGAATCATCGAGCTCCAGGCTCCTCCGCATGCTGGATTCAATCGGGAAATGCATCGGACATAGGGACTTCTGCGAGTGGAAGACGAAACTCAAGCAAGCCGTCATTCTCCACGCTCCGGAGCTTCACTCCGTCCTAGAGGGCAGTCCCGACCATCGGCACCTGCGGCGAACTCGACAGCCCAGGCCGATTGGGACAATGCCAACGGTCGCCTCTACTCCCTCCTCTTCTTCGTGACCTCCGGGTCTGCGCAGCTGACCGTCCGTGCTCATGAAGGGACGGCGGCGAACACCATGGGGAATGGGGCGGAGGCCTGGAACGCTCTCAACGACCGTTTCGATGCGCAAACCCAGGAAGCTAGGCGAGCATGTCACAACGAGCTTTTCAACCTGAGACACCTTCCGGGCGGTGATCCCATCGACTTCTTCACGAAGAGCTGGGACCTGAAGCTTCGCCTGCGGGGCTTGGGAGAGGTAGTTTCGGATGAGGTCTACCTCGACATCATGCTCTCCGGCCTGACCAAGGATTTAAGTGCATAAAAGAAATACACTATCGCAACGAGTTCAATTCTGTCGACCGTCTCCTGGAGACGGCCAACCGTTTTTTTGTGGACCAGCAGTCGCGGAACGCGTCGGGCCCCGTGGTCTCGGGGTGAGGGGTCGCAATGGCGGCCGCATCCAGCTCCGACCAGTGCCATCGCTGCAAGGAGTACGGGAAATTCCAGCGCGATTGTCCCAAAAAGAACAGAAGAGTCCTTCCAACCAAGCGAAGAGGAAGGGAAAAAACAAGAAAGGCGGTGGGAGTGCTCAGCCAAAGTGGTGCGCCTACCACAAAACTACGACACACAGCGACGCTGAGTGTTTGAAACAGCAGAAGTTACGCGAGAGCAAGCAGAAGGAGCTACAAGGGTTGGCCGCTAATTTGGCGCTGCTACAGTCCGCTGCCCAAGGACGCCTCTCCAACGTGGGGAGCGCCCACCTGGCGCACTCGTCGTCCCCGGCGGCGGCAACACAGGCTCCGGCAGGTACACCTTCATTCGGGTTCTCCTTCAGCGCCCTCGCTGCTTCCCTGGCTGACACCGCCTCGTCGTCTGCCCCTTCCCAGACGCCTCCGGCGGCGTCTGCCGCCGCTCAGGCGGTACCTACAACTACCTCATCATCGTCGCCTGCACAGGACCACCGCTTGCCCGAAGGGTTTTTCGGTGCGTTCATGGCGACCGCTGCCGAATTTTCGGCGGCTCTCTTCCGTTCCGACGGATCATCCGTCCGGATACTGGTGGACAGCGGAGCCACCGACAACTATATCGACCCTGAGCTTTTGCCAGGCGTGCGAGAACACATGTACGACATCAGAGAAATTCGGCCTCCATTCGCGGTGGTCGGCATTGGCCATTACACCATCAAAGGTGTTGCTACTGGGGTCTTCCAAGGCACCGTCACGGACCACAGCGAATCCGACAGGGCCGTATCTCTCCGAGTAATTCTCGTGCCTGGGCTGGGGACCCATCTCTTGTCCGTGGGCGCTGCCGTGCTCAAAGGGGTGACAGCGATGTTCCATCCGGCCAACCCAAGGTTGGATTCGGTAGATGGCTCATGCACTGTACCGATGACCTCTCATGGGGTGGACAAGACCGTTAAACTGATTTGCACCGTCCAGATCAAACTCAGGGGCGGCGCTGGGGGAATGATCGAGAACGGACCCGGCGGCCTAGCCCTGAAGGTAGAGTCGGCCAACCTGTGGCACAGACGCATGAGCCATATCAACAGCAAGAGTTTGGACATCTTGAGGAAGGCACCCAACAACGGCGTCGACCACACCGGAGACATCAAGGATTGCGGTCCCTGCGCGCTCGGTAAGAGTACCCAACAACCTCATCCTAAGGAGGCCATCTACGACGTTAAGTGTCCTTTTCAGCTCGTTTTCGTTGATACCCTCGGCCCATTCACGCCCACTGCGCTGGGCGGCTTCAAGTACGTCACCAAATTCGTTGACCAGCTCACCAAGTGGAAGGATGTCGTTCTCATGAAAAGAGAAGACTCATTCTGTAGACTCTCTCGCCCTGTTTCTGAAAGAAACCGTGATTCCTCTCGGGGAGCGTATCTACATCCTCCGCGGGGATCAGGGCACGGAGCTCAAGAACGCGGAGTTCATCCAGTTCTGTCAGGACTCCGGCATCAAACTGGAGTTTGCCTATCCAAACACCCCGCAACAGATCGGACCGAACGAGCGTGCGGGGCGGACGATTCTAAACATCGTGCGCTGCCTTCTCGCTGACTCGACTCTACCGAACTTCCTTTGGGGGGAGCTAATACATGCGGCTGTCAACCTGAGCAACCGGACTCCTCACGCAGCTCTGCAAAACGGGACGCCGTACAAGGCGCTCTGCGGCAAGGACGGCTGCCTTGGGCACCTTAGGGCGATAGGGTCGAGGGAGCTCGTGCACGAAGAGACTCACACCAAGGAGCTGGAGTACCGCGCTTGGGAAGGGCGGCTCGTTGGGTATAGCATGAACAGCAAGTCGTGCAGTATCTACAACCATGCAATGCGAAATGTTCGGGATGCTCGAAATTGTCGTCTTCATAGAGACACCTCCCGTTTCGCTCTCGCTAGATGCACGTGGTTTCGAAGACGGAGAGTTCACATACGAGAACCACAACGACATGATACAAGACGTGCGCAACCACACCTTCAACCATTCGGTTCAGCCGACCTCTCCCGATCATGTCGTTGAGGACCCGTCTGTGGCTGATCTTCTTGAGCAAATCCGTCAGACCACCGATCGCGGCCTTGGACTTCGTTCTGCTGATTCCCCTCTCGATTCTGGAGCATCTGGTGATTCTGGAGGTACGTCTGGGGGAGTCAACCCCCCGGTACCGGGCAACGGTGTATCGCCAGCTGGCCCCTCACCTAGTCCGGACACATCACCCGTTTCACCGTCTCCTAGTCCTGCTCCGGCTTCGACTACTGCTCCGCCGCGGGGTGGGTCTGCGCGTGGGCGCCGCTCGTCTTGTGGTGGCCGAGGTACACAGCGCAGTTCTGCACGTGGTGGATCTGTGCGTGGAGGCATCGCGCCGCGCGGTGGTCGCGAATTAACAACTGGACGAGGTTCCGCTCCGACGCCTGCCGTTACCAGGTCGGCGTCTAGCATACCCAACAGCAAGACACTTCGCGAACTTCGTCGGATCTCCTATGCGTGTACCGCGAAGGGGGAGCTTCCCGACGTCGCCCACAACGACCCCGGTTGTGCTTTTGTTGAGATGTACAGCATATCCACTATGCTACAAGTCAGTCGCTGACTTGTAGCATAGTGGATATGCTGTACATCTCAACAACCATGAATCGTCGGAAAAATTACCATGGATTGCAGTAAGTAGTAGATGGATGGCACCTACCTACTCGTCATCGATGCCGGCCCACACTCACCCAGCCGTGCTACTAAAGGAACACACCAAACAGCCTACATAGTTCGCGTAGCGCGTAATACCTACGAAGAAAGTAAAGTACTGGTATTGATCAAGGCTCGAAATCAGTCCAATTCAACCGGAACAGGTCATTGACCAGCTTTCACATTGAACCATCTACCTTTCAAACTCGCCCTTGCCGCCTCCTCTAGCACTGCACAACAGGGGACATAGTCTCGCACATCTACTAGCCTTGGTCTTCTTGAAGGGTTACGTTTGACTGGACCAATCGGCCACACGGCTACGGGCGACTGGCGGGCTATAATAGCGGCTGCTCCTGGGGTATGCATGCATGCGAAAATTGCAAAGATGATCCTGTAGTGTGCGGTGTATCTGCCATCTCTCGGGGATCTCCACAGCTCCACAGCGCCAGCAGCGCCAGCGGTGATGCAGACCATTCGAGAGCGGGACGCCAAAGCACCGACGCCTCGGCAGAAAACCCGGGGCTACATGGGTATTTCCCCCCCCCTCCGAATGGTCAAGAAACATTTGTTTGACGTGGTGGAAGTAGTGGTGAAAACGGAGTTCGAGGAAAGCCTATGGCTTAAGATACCTGGGGAGCGGGGTGAGAAAGATTTGTTTCTAGGGAACGTATACGTCCCACCGTCGTCGAAGTATGTGGCAAGCAAGGCGCAGAAGAACTTTGGACAAATTGGGGACGATGCCCAGAGGTTCAGTAGGAAGGTCATGGTGGGCGATTTCAAATCCAGAGCAGGGAAAGCTTCCAGTAGAGGACAGGCGATCGGGCAGCACAGAGAAGACAAAGTGAATGACAACGGAGTGAGGATGCTTGAATTCTTGGGAAGCATCGAGCTGATGGTGTTGAACGGTAGCAGGGAATGCGCCAAGCCGGAGTTCACCAGGCAACGGGCAGTTTGCAATGAATACTCGATCCTCGAATACATCCTGGTAGATAGGGGGAGCATACGGATCCCAGAGCTGGACGTAAGTGCGATAGATATAGGTTCGACCGACCACTTCATCATATGGGCAAAAATCGGCCGATCTAGCAAGATGGAGAGTAAGAAACAGAGGAAAGTGTTCCGGTGGAAAGTAGAGCATTTGGGAGACGAGGGGACACGGGATGAATTCCAGAAGGG